GGAGGCGGAGGCGAGGGCCGCCCCGACTCCCGCCCCGCCCTCGGGTCAGGCCTCGGCCTGCTCAGGCTCCTCAAAATCGTTACTTTGCCTGAGCTTTGCCGGTGCCTGCCCGAGGAGTGGCTGGAGGTGCTTCTGAGAGAAGGAAAATGCTCGAGCCTTTGGACCTAATTCCTTTCTGGACGAACAAGATTAAGAATGGAGAGGGCACCGAGGTAGTCCTACTTTGGGCACCTCATGAGAAGGCAGGAAGGAGTCTCTGGAAAAGACAATAATGCTGGGAAATTGGAAAGGCAGCAGGAAAAGAGGAGGACCAAATACCAGGTGGACTGACTCGTTAAGGGAAGCCACAGGCATGAGTTTTCAAGAGCTAAGCAGGGCGGTTGAGGACAAGACTTTCAGGGGATTGCTTATTCATAGGGTCGCTATAACTTGAGGGTGAGTTGATGGCACAACGACAAAGAGGATGAATATTATTTCATACATATGGTTTGGAGAGAAACATAGAATTGTTCATATTTGGGAAACGAATGCTGGTCACTGTAGTTGTCTTTAAAGAACAGTGAAGTCTAGCAGGATGGACATAACTACTTCTGCACGTTACACATCTTAAACACACAAACAGGGCATGAGCTGGGGGTGCATGACACAGCCATTTTGTTGAAAGTAAGGAGGGCTATGGTTTGGCCAGAGAAGGTCACCTAGGTCAGGCGTAGGGAGTTAATGTTGATGTGTCACAACTTGTCACCCCACCCAGCATAGTTAGTGGTGAGGGATGGATTTGGGGTGACCATCCAGCAACACTGAGAAGATCATGTGTTTCCCAGCCCTGCTGCATTAAACACTACTTTGGATTTTACCATAGAATAAAAGCAGTATGTGACTGTAGTAAACAAAAGCAGAATGCACCGCAACAGTGCCTGCTAATGAGTTCAGGGTGGACTAGATTTACTTTTATGCCCTTCACATTATTGAAGGAGCTCACAGTAGGGTACATTGTTTATCTGATTTCAACTCAAAACCGTTCTGTGAAAGTAGGTAAGGATGGCAGCTAGTGATCAGTATCAGGTCCCCCAGGGAAGGAGGATTTGAATGTGAATGTGACACCCCAAACCAGTTGCCATCCTTCATATTCTTCCATATTCAGTTGCTGTCCTGTGTAAAGTTTGTTTATCCATATTCAGCTATCCATGTCTGTTGGAAGAGACAGGTCATTCCTGAATGCTGGGTGCTGGAACAAGAACAGTGCACGGAGATCATTGTTATATCTTGTTGGTGCCATTTGGGAGACTCCTAGCTATTTTTCTGCTGCATAGTGTAACTGAGTTCCCTAATCAGATGTTTGAGAAAGATAGTGTAGGAGTTCTAAGAGTTTAGGTTAAAATGTATTGGGCATTCAGCATGCTGTAATATATACCCTGTTTTCCAGCAATAGATTCAGGCTCTGTATCTTTTTTTTTCTTTGTGGTACTTTTGGTATTGGAACAATAATACCCTTTTCTTGGTGTGACTGGGGTAGCAGTGTTCATTATTTTAAAATGGTGCCATGCAAATGAGTTTGATGACAGTCTTTTTAACTTGAAATGTGTTAATGTTTTTTCTTTTCCCAGTCTAGTTCATACTTCAGGAATGATGAGAAATGGGCAAAGATCCTGTTCTGTAACTTACTCCTGGGAAAGGGTGATGTCGGCATAGGCAGGGGGAAATTTGTGGTAGTTAAAAATTTACAACTCCTGTTGCATGGCTTTTCCATCTCATGAGTAATTGCTTTCATCACCATAGGACAGAAGGGAGAAATAGTTACAGTAATTACCAAAAACGTGCTTCTGCCAGTAATGCTATAACTGGCAGCAATTTTTGTCATCACCCTTCTTCAGGTGTAGTTACTCCAACAGGATTTCAGCCACAAATTTATATATTTGCAGCTTTTTTTTTTTTTTTGAGAGGAAATAGGAGCAGACTGATTTAGGGGAACGCTAAATGCAATCTATAACCCAGATCCAATGATAGAAGCAAGTAATTAGACAAGCATAAGAATTAATGCCATATAATGAATTTCATGTATTTCTATGTTAATCAGAAGACTCAGCCAAAAAGTAATGCATCTGCTCATTTTTCTGTATTTACTGAACAAGGAGAATGCTGATTCCACATGTTTATCTCACTTGGCCCAAGGTGTTTGTGTGTGTGTTTGTGTATTTGAGCAGATGTGGGGTGAACACTACAGGGGGTGACAAATTTAAGTGTAGTTGAAAGTATTTATGGCTCAGGTTTTGATTAATGGAAGAACTAGCATATAGATCTTCATACACTGTTAAGAACCATTACTCTCAAAGAGAGAGAAAATGCATTGAAACATTCATCTATTAAATGCTACTATTAATAGTTTTTCCTAAGTTTCCAAATTGATTCTTAAGTGTAAGTGAGTCAACTGTCCCCCATGCTATTCAGTATCTACATGAAACTGCTGGGGGAGGTCGTTAGGAGGTTTGGGCTGAGGAGTCAGCAATATGCTTCTCAACCAATCCAGGTATGGCAGTTGTCGTTTTGAACTCGTGCCTGGACTCGATAATGGACTGGATGAGGGTCAGTAAACTGAGGCTCAATCCAAACAAGTCAGAAGTGCTGCTGGTAGGTGCTCCGCCAGATAGGTTAAAGGGCCATTTCCCTCCCTTAGATGGGGTTACACTCCCCTAAAGGACAGGGTGCACAGCTTGGGGGTGCTCCTTGACCCAGGTCTGACCTTGGAAGCCCAGGTAGACTCTGTGTCCAGGGGTGCCTTTCTACAGCTGTGGAGAATACCTGGATGAGCAGAGCCTTGGCAACAGTCACACATGCATTGGTAACTACCAGACTAGACTTTTGCAATGCTCTATACGTGAGGCAGCCTTTGAAGATGGTCTGGGGACTGCAACTGGCACAGAACCAGGCTGTGCAGCTAGTAAGTGGTGCTGCCACGCGGATTCATATCACATGCCAGTTCTGAAAAATTTACACTGGCTGCCGGTTGCTGCTCGGGCCCAATTCAAAGTCTTTAGTTTGACATATAAAGCCCTAAACGGCTTATGACCTGGTTACCTAAGGACCACCTTCTTCCATACAAGCCTTCCTGTCCTCTAGGATCAGGCCAGGAGGCCCCTCTGAAGGTGCCATCCCTGAAAGAGGTGAGGGGAATGGCATGCTGAAATAGCGCCTTCTTAGCTGTTGCCCCCCAACTTTAGGATGCCCTCCCTATAGAGATCCACCTGGCTCCAACACTTTTGGCTTTTCGGCGCCTTTCTGTTTAGCCAGCATTTTAATTAAGTAGTATCCTTTAGCTGGCCACATGAGCAGTAGGATTTATTAATACTGTATTAATGTTTTAATGACTGTTTTTAATATAGGGTGTTATAATATTGCCTGTTTTTGATGATTTTAATGTTTTTAAAGTTTTAATATTGTTGTACGCCACTCAGAGACCATTGGTAATGGCTCGACTAAAAAATCTTGTAAATAAATAAATAAACACACACTTATTGAAAGAATTCACAGTCTGTCACATAAATTATTCCTTTGCAACAGCCATGTCAGGAAAGCTAGTGGCATTGTCCCTATTTTACATGTGGGAGGTTGAGATAGGGCCAGCTACTGCGTTCATGGCTAAAATGAAATTAGAACCAAGAGTTTTGCAGTTTACAATATGAAAAACTAAACACTGTGCTATGCTAGAGCTGTTTGAAGTTTCCCAAGTTGTTACAAAGTTGAAATCTCTCCTCACATTAAACGGTCATTCACAGCTTTCCCTCATAATGAAGCTATGCATACATTTTAACTCCCATGTGACTTAGTGTTGTAAAATGGTGTTGATTATTTCAGAAAAATGTTTATTTATATTACTTATAATCTGATCTTTCAAATGTGCTTAAGGCAGCTAAAAGAATAAAACACAGCTTTTAAAACATACTGTAAAATGCATTTTAAACATTAAAAACATGATGATAAAGTTGTCAGCATCCAGTAGAGCAGGCCTGTTTGACTGCAAGCTTGCTGTCAAAGACCTTCATGTATTAAAAATATATTTGCATGCAAGTAGAATAACAGCAGAATCTGTTCAAAGATTGCTTCCCTCAACAAGAGACATATGCATTTAATACTGATAGTGATTTCTGTGGTGTGACATACAGTAGTTGGTTTCTGTTTGTTATTACAGTGGTGCCTCGCTAGACAATGATAATCCGTTCCACTGAAATCGCTGTTTAGTGAAATCATTGTCCAGCGAAAAGCATTTCCCCATTGGAATGCATTGAAACCTCTTTAATGCGTTCCAATGGGGAAGAATCGTCGTTGTCTAGCAAAGATCAGCCATAGGAAAGCAGCTTTGGGAACAGCCGATCAGCTGTTTAAATAGCTGTCTTGCGAAGCTTAGGTCCCGAAAACACCCGTTTTGCGAGCACGGAGGGAGCTGTCAAAATCGTCCTCTAGCAAAAATCGGTTTGCGAAGCAGGGACCAAACATTGTCCAGCGAAATTCCCCCATATGAATCACTGTTTTGCGAATCACTATAGCGATCGCAAAAAGTCAATGTCTAGTGAAAAAACTGTCATGCGGGGTAACTGTCTAGCGAGGCACCACTGTACTTTCAAACATTTTATATCATGCTGCCCCATTTAGCTCTGATTCATTGCAGTGTGTGTGTGCTCAGGTATCCATTTTGTAGTGCTTGACAGAGAGGCCCAGTCTACATTGTGCTGGAGGTAGACCAGGACTCAGGGTCTCCTGGCATAAGATATTTATTTACTTATTTATTTATTGGACTTATATACCGCCTCATAGCGCTACAAGCACTCTCCGGGCGGTTTACAATTTTAATTATAAAGGCTACGTTAAAATGCCTT